GTGACTGTTGATTATGATGATGGTGATTCATGGCTAGTAAGATTGGTACAGCAGGCAATAGAAGTGGTACTATTGGAATGCCAAGTTTCATTTCTCAGATGCCTGTTTCTAATCCCATGTAAGTATATATCTCTTAACAGCTTCTTTTTTTGTTTATTTATATTTTAGTTAGTTCGATGCAAATTATTGAAGGTTAGAGAAGATTTATTGCTCTTGTTTTTATGTCGAATAATTCAAGTTCTGCAAATTGATTTTATGGGAACTAGGCCATTCATATCATGAGCTTAAGTTGGATTAGGAGGTATGACCTGTTTCTTTCAATTTGGTCCTGTAATCAAGTATAAAGGTCACGTACAGTTAGCGGCGGAGGTGCGGAGCCAGGAATTCTAACAAAACGATTCAAAAAATAAATGCAAAAATGCTATACCTAAAAGCTTCCCTTATGTTAAGGGGATTCAATAGTTTTTATATGTATGAAAAAAAATATTTTACCCTACTTGTACAGTAATTTCTGAATGAAGGGTGACTACCTAAGTTGTAGGACAGTCTTAATCTATTTATTCAGCAGGGTCCATTTCATGGTTTAGGTAAATCAGCTATTCCTACTTAAACTCTACTAGTCCCTAGAAATAACGGAAATGAATGAAAAAAGGTAAGAGTATTCAACCATTTCATGATCTTGTTGTTTCTCAGAGTTCCTTGGGGGGTAATTATTGTGTTAGTGTGAATCTAGAATAGTTATATGTCATTGGTAATATGTTGTATATGACGAAGGTGATATCTCGAATAATTTGTTCCTGTTTAACAATATGTTTGGGCTGTAATATTTTTGGATTGCAGGGGCACAGAAGCGAACAATACAAATACTACTAGAATGTCTGATTTTGGGGTGCTCGAGCAATATCTTGGATTCCGTATTGGAGATGGTGCTAATGTCAATCGAAGTATGTATTTTTAAGATAACCAAGTTTAAACTCTTTTATCCTGAATATTCTTGTATGCTCATCTTTCTTATCTGTCATCTGTCAAAAGAATCTTGGTATGTTCAAGCATTCTTTAAGTTACAAACTTACGATATGCACTAAGTATGTTTTCTCTTTAATGTTTTTAGTGAGAGCATTTGGGATCTCTCGTTGTAAACAATCATTACGATGATCTTATAAGCAAGTTCTATTTTCCATGCAAGTTATCTATGGGTAGCTGAGACCTCTGAAAAGTTTAGATGAGCTGAAGAGATTGATCATGGTATAGGACTTCTCTTTGCTTTTCTACCCTTGTCAGGTCTAAATCTAGTAAGAAAAGTGGGACTTTGAACTTAAGTCAATTCCAAAAGTTAGCTCACGATGTTAGGATTGTTCTAGATCATATAGAAATATGTGGATGACATAACATGAATCTCCAACATTAGATAATTCAACATTAGGATTTGCCTGGTCTGACTTTACTAAAAGAAAAATGGACCTTGGGCATAATTCTACCCCAATAAACTAGTTCATGAGGTGAGAGTCGCCAAAAAGCATATAAAGAAAGTTCAACTCATACCCTCGACTGATGTGGTACTCTAACAATATGATTCCTCTTCATAGATAATCTACGAAAAAGTAATAATCCTATATAGATATCTATAGGTTTCGAAAAATATATTCGATCACATAGTATATGAAGTAAATAGTGTTCTGGATCTTCCTGTTTGAACAATGTTAAATAAGAGGATGATTTCAACTGTAACAGAAATGCTAGATTTACTGAAAAGCACATGTGTTTCTTCTTTATTGTTTCTTCATACCCGAACCTCAATTTTCCAAGAACTTTTCTTCTGTGAAGACTGACCTTGTCCTGTGTAGTACTTATCATTGATAAGTTTGTCTTTGTTCTTTTTGGTGGTTTAGGTCCGCTATTTAATTCAACAACTGCAACTAATCCAGCAGTGGGTTTTGAAGTCTCTGGAACCATCAATAGGGTAATTATGGCATTATTCTCTCCCCATGTTTTCCTAAAGAGAAGTAGAAACTGTTAATCTGATATTGGCAGAGATGTCCAAAAGCCCGGTGAGGCGTTTAGCCAATTTTGATATCTCTTTTTTTTTTTCCTTCCGTTGAGCTTGCAGACTTTAGCTCCTTTAAATACAAGTTTGCCTACTGCTACTCCGGGATCTCAGACAATGCAATTGCAATCAAACCTAGTTTCAGTATCAGGCACTCATCATGAGAATTGGGGAGAGTCAAACATGGCAGATTCTGGTTCACGCACTGATACTTCAACTGACATGGATGCAGATGATAAAAATCAGCTGGTAATTTACTCTGCTTGTCTTGGTTTCATCTCTTAGCCTCTCTTGGACCATTTCTCGTTGGTCGGTGAAGACCTGCAATATCTTTGAATCAATGCGGATTTGGCTAAGAACGAAACTTAATAGAAGCAAAAGGGGACATATAGGCGCACCGACAAGTACGGATTGAGGTTTAGTTGTTATTACACTTACATAAGGTGCAGTGTTTCTCGAAATGTTCTATCTGAGCACTTATATGTTCATGTAAGGATAAGTGTGAACTTTGTAGAGTCTCTAGTCTTAGAAAATGCTAATTTGCCTTAAATGACAAGTTATTTACTACTCCCTCTGTCCCATCATATATAACTTTATCGTTTGGGATGTCTCAAAATGCTTGGCATATTCCATCTCTATGCAACTTCCACAACTCCTAAGAATTCAAATTCATTAAATTATTCAAATTTTAAACTTCAGTCTTATGCTTCCTTTATTAAATTAACTTTTGAATCATTAATTTAATATATCTCACTGCTGTCAATATAGTATATAACTCAAAATTAATATCTAGAACTCTGCAACCCATCAAATATAGTGATACAAAATGGAATTGAGGGCGTATTATTGAATTATTAATCTAAAATAAAAGACATGTCTTTTGCATTGTAAAGCATTGAGAAAGTGGGAGTAGTACAGAGGATTCATGTTAACCAATCACAAACTAGTTGGTATTGAGCAGTAATTGGTTGAGTATGTACATTACTTCAATTTCATACTCGAGTCTTTGGTTCGCACTTCGCAAATATGTACTAATTGCTTTCACTGAAGAGTTTGTACATGTAACAGAAAATTTCTCCTCAAGTAACAGGAGAATTATTTATTGTGGTGGACCTTTTAGTTTCATTAATTGTTATTTGTTTCATCTGGCTTGAAAAGTTAGCGGAAATGTCTTGACTTGAAAGTATGATGTTTGTCATTACTGATTTGTGTTTTTACGTTTCAGTCATGTATGGAAATTCTTTTCTCTTATGCAGATTGAGGCAGGTCAATCCAGTGATAAATCAAAAGAAAAAGTCTTGGATCAAAAGGTCCCCTTTTTTTCCCGCACTATTTAGTTCTTAGAAGAGGAGAACTCCTGTTCCATTCTGATATTCTTTTTGCTTATTTATCACTGCTTTCAGACACTACGTCGACTTGCCCAGAACCGTGAAGCTGCTAGAAAAAGTAGATTGAGGAAAAAAGTAAACCTTTCTTCTCTCATTCTCCTCCTTTTTTCCCTTCCCCCGTTGATATGTAATATAAGCCTGTACCTCGCGCACTAGTTTGTCATTTTAGTAAACAAGGGATGCTGAAGAGATTATGTCAGCTGACCGTTTCTCACTTGTCTTTAAATGACTAATTCAGTGCTTATGCTGTAGGCATATGTTCAACAGTTGGAGAACAGCCGGCTGAAGCTATCCCAGTTGGAGCAGGACCTTCAGAGAGCGCGTCAACAGGTATTGGCTTCTGTCCTTTCACGTGCTTTCATAGAACAACCTGAAGAGGTTTCACAATCTTTTCTTATATTGGGTTCTTGTCCAACTGAAGGGGAAGTACATTTCAAACATAGCAGATCAATCAAATGGAGTGGGTGCCAATGGTATGCCTATTGCTCATCATTTAACTTGTGTGCCTTAGCTTCCTTTTTTTTATTTCAACAAACAAGAAAATTGCTGGGCTTCTTCTAGATTTGCTGAGGATGTGCCACTTCTTGATACTTAATTGAGCTAGGAGTGGGTTGTTATTTCATGTTACTGTAACAACCAAAGTTTGTCAATACTCTGCGTTGTCTCAGCTATAATATCGTTAAAATCATCTAAACAGTGCTTCTCATATGTGAAGTTGACAGGGCTTGAGTAGTTCTAGGAAATTTGAGTGGAATCAGAATACATTGTGCGTTGTGTGGTCTGTGTTTAGGAAGCAAATAAGACTGAAATAATATCTTTTTTCTACTTGAAGAAGATTGGAGAACTTCAGATTTCTTGATTTTCCCTGATTAACTGCACTCAGTTAATGAGAAAATTTGTGACATCCATCTTCGTGTTTATTCGCTGCAGCTGATCATTAAATTTGAATTTGAGGAACTAGGTAAACCGCATATATGATAGGTCCTCAGTGTCATTGTTTTGAGTTTTGACCCTATATCAAAAGTTGTGAAGCTGTGGGTGCATGGACTTGGTCGATGTTGATATTTCTCACACACTTATGATGGTTTTCATGATACAGATAATGAATGAATCAGTTGCTGCTTTATGCAGTCAGTTTAATACATGACTCTTTTGTATTAGGCTGGCTTATTTTTATAAGATATGTTCAACCCATTAACTAGTTTCTGATTGCACTTCCCAAAAAGTTAATTTCCTCATGCTAAGATAACATTCAAGATTATGCTGTTCTGCAGGGCCCTTAGCATTTGATGCAGAATATAGTCGATGGTTAGAAGAACACAACAAACACATCAATGAGCTAAGGACAGCTGTCAATGCACATGCAAGTGACCCTGAACTGCGAAGTATTGTGAATAATGTCACTGCACACTTTGATGAGGTCTTTAGGGTGAAAGGAAATGCAGCCAAGGCGGACGTATTCCATGTCTTGTCGGGGATGTGGAAAACCCCAGCTGAACGGTGTTTTATGTGGATTGGTGGCTTCCGCCCGTCTGAACTTCTTAAGGTGACCGCTTTCTTGCTCTCATATGTGTGCAATTCTGCATCGGTTCTTCTGCATTTCCATCTAGACTTTCCCATTCTGCTGTATACTCTTTGATTAAGTATGAAAAGGTCATGTTGTAAGCAGGTCTAATGAGTTTTGTGGCATGTTGCACTTCATTGATTTATGCTTGTGAAAGTCTAGAATACTTGCTAAACATTGGGTGGTTTCACTATTCGACTGAATGAATGAAGTGCCGTGCAGTGTACAATTGCATTTTTATGACACTATCATTTATAACTCCATCATTGTAGTCTCGTGTCCTTGGATAGGTAAGGTCTGAGATTCTCCTTCAAATGTCATGGACGTGCAATTATTGTTTTGAAGCTCTTGGTTTTTTTCTCGTGTCCACTGTGCATACAGTGGCGGATCCATGTAGGGAGTGCTGGGTGCTTCAGCACCCATTGCATCTGACTGGAACCATGTGTATTAATATTAACAATCAGTAAAAAGCTGACAAATAAAGTGGTGAGCACCCATTACTTAATATGATAATTGGGTGCTGATAAAAATGCAGGATTAAAGAATGGCGATGAAATATCCAATCTGGTTTGAAGTTTTTCATTTGCTCAGTTTGCTATGTATAACAAAATATGTTTGCACCTGTAAGTAAGATGCTGTTAGTTATTCTACCTTTTTAAAATATAAAAACTCGTCGAGAATAATTCTAAATAGAACTTTTCTTTAACCATGATAACCTTAATTTTAGTTTTCTCTTTATCTTTTTCACCTCAAGTTTTAAATAACTATGTTCTTATACTATGTGGCCGATAACAGCTTTACTGTAAAAATACCGGAGCACCCATCACTTTAAAATCATGGATACGCCACTGACTGCATACTACTATCTCTAAACAACTTGATTCCTAGAAGCAAAAGCTTGGATCAAATTGTGTGGTTATCTGTATCCTTATTGGCATCCCAAATGAAGTTTCCTGGCCTTCTTCAGCTTGGTGATGTTAGCCAGTTGCATCTGTTGTTAATGTGCTTTCACTTTGTCAATTAACAGCATTTTTATGCCGGAATTATATGAGTGCTGTAGACTGTGTTTGCTTTTATTCTTGTCAATTTCTTCATGCGTCATCCAGCGTGGATAAATTAAAAACCTCAAGTTGCTAAGCTAGATAACATTCTTTGGAAAAATTAAAAGTTTAATATGCTATTTCTAAGCCGTATGGAAGTTTCTTTATAAGCAATTATGCATTATTTTATTTTACTATTTTTCACATGTTTCCTGAAATGGTTGTTTGGTAATGCAGCTTCTAGTCAATCAGTTAGAGCCGCTGACCGAGCAGCAGTTAGCGGGCATTTACAACTTGCAGCAGTCATCCCATCAAGCAGAAGATGCTCTTTCACAAGGTATGGAGGCGTTGCAGCAATCCTTGGCTGAGACGTTAGCCAATGGATCTCCTGCTCCAGAAGGATCATCAGGGGATGTAGCTAATTACATGGGTCAAATGGCAATGGCAATGGGGAAATTAGGAACTCTTGAAGGTTTTCTCCGTCAGGTAACTCTATATTTGCTGCAGCTGCTGTTGCCTATTCTTTGTTTAAGTTGTTTTAATAATGGATCTGCCGTAAACACATTCAGTCGTTTAAGCAGTGGAAATC